TTTGGTTTCATGGGCAAATATATCTGCAAATGAAAGGTTACTGGATCTTATAAAAGATATTTCACTCAAAACCACGAATGTCAACCTCATGGTGGTACCAAAGGAAACTCACTGGGATTCGTCCTCTGATGACCATGAATCCACCCAGTAGAGGTTGAGATATTTCAGTCTGGACCAAAGTGGTGCACTGACCAACAAACTGACCAACTGTACGTTGCCAAAAATGACTTCAATGATCGATAATGAAAATAGTTGCCAGATAATTTTCTGTCCATCGACTGATCATTGCAGCTGAGACTGAAATTCAAGTTCATTCAAAGTTGTAAAAGCAGCAATAAGCTAACAAACAGCAAACCTGTGTAGTGCTACTGAGGAAGAACAGATAACTGCATGTTTGATCATTTTTTAAGAGAATACAAATCTGCAGATTGAGGTTTGATTTCAGACTGATAACCTACGAATGCTGAAGTCACTAAGCGTCTCTTGGATTTTCCAGTAGGATGCTGCATTTTTCTCCTTTTGTCCATATCAGGGTATTTAGGAGGGGATTATGGGAAGCTAATAGGACGTTATTTCTATGACCTCATGGAGTGAGCTCCACAGTCTGGCATTGGGGACGTTCGCTGTAGCCAGGAGAAAGTGGAGTCTGTGACTGGAGCCCAGTTCACTCAGTCAGATAGCGGTGATTCAAACCCCATTTGTTTTGGGCGTAGAGGATGCTCTCAGTGGTTTGGCTGTGATTGATCCTTCCTCTGCCCGTGATCGCACCATGACACTATTCCAGTTTCCACATTCATTTTTCCCCTGCTAACTTACACCAGTTCGGTCCTGTGGCGCTTCCATTATTGGCCCTCTGACAGTTCTTTGACCTCCACCCAGATTTAAAAAAAAAAAAAAAAGGTCTTGGGACATTGCTTTGGACAACAGCGAATCTTTGCATGGAAACATTATTGTATGTTTACAGAGAGTTTAATGTTACTGGGGCTGAAAGCATCTCACTATAAACAGATTGTTTAAGTAGATTTAAAGAAAAGTCTTATGTATCTGTACAGCATTTGATGCATTTACAGAATTTTAGCTGTTTAAACCAACTAATGCTAAAGTCAGACACTGATAAAACAGTCAAAAAAACTGACTTTTAATGCATTTAATGCACTATAGCATCTGTATCAATCTGTATCAATTTGTAAAACCCATCAGCAGCATTAAATGTAGAGTGTAGATATTTTTAAAACTGCAAGGATTCTGTGGAGTTTGTGCTGCACCTTATGTGCCTTCAGTTTAATGCACAAGAATAAAAAGAATCGGTGGCATATCAGCAGCAGGAAACAAGCTGCAGCCCAAGCAACTGTTGCAATGGGTTCTGCATCTCCAGGCAACTGCCCCGTTATGATTAAACGTATTGACACAGTACGAAAGAGGCAGGAAAAAGAAAATCATGCATGGTAAACATTCCCAGATTGCTATCTTAAAAATAGACCTCCAGAACAATCAAAGCACGAAAAAACTAAATTGGAGACAAAATATGAAAGAAAACATGTGAATGAAATTATGAGTACAACCCATAACGGAAAAGAAACAAACAAAAAATGAAAACCGGCATCAAAACATAGACTTTTTTCCCTTGTCAGTGATTTTTTTTCTGCTGTCAGCAGAGTGCTGCTCATTATGTATTTATATTAGATGCTACAGGAGGGAGAGCGAGAGGTTGGAGATTTCCAGTCATCTGCCAATGTTTTTGATACACGGAAGACTCTGCTGTTAATTGTTTCCTCCAACAATAGTGGCTGGAAAAAAAAAGTCGGAAAATGGGCAAGACTGGTTTAGGTGAATGGCTGTTTTCTGTATCAGAGCAACAGGGAAAGCCCTTTTGGGCGTATTCTGAATGATCTGTGTGTGACTCTGAACTTATATTTTACACAAGATTTGCATAAATTCTACTCCTTGTTTTGGTCACAAATTTCCTTTTCCAACTGCGGAAACACATACTGGCCAATACATGAATTAATCTATACTTACTTTGTGTCTTTATATGTAATACTACAGCACATGTGCTTTAATATGGAACTAATATTATATGCATAAAATGCATATTTCTATAATAGTCCTCTAAACTGGTGCAGAGGTTTACTTACTGCCACGACAAAGTCTGTATTTCTGTGTCAGATTGGTGTATTCGTGTTGCAAGTGAGAACTTCTACGTCCTCATGTGGGTCAGAGATCAGACAGCTTTCAGTCGCTGTTTGCAGACTCGTCTGTCTGCTTCTGCTGTCATAACCTGCATTACTTTAATGACCTCCTCTCAGTGTTTTGGGTCAGTTGAACAACAAACGGTCTTTGTAAATTCACAGGAGATTTGGGACACTATATTTTTCATATCAGCCCACATTTTCCAGTAAAAGGGTTTCTTACCTATACGAAGCTTTGGATTAAGCCATAGCCATGTTAAAGGGAACAGTAAGGATCTGCGTTATAGTTTGCAGACACTGTTTTCACTGTATCCTCTGCAAATCCAAAATAACCGGATGAGTTTTAGAACTCCAAAGTGGCTGGGCAGAGATGAATAAAAGAAGGACTTCTCAGTTCAAATCCAATGTGGTTCCCTCTCCGACGGAAGTGACCAGTGGGCCAGATGTCTGAGGTTAAAGACATAGTGGTACAAAAATTGCAACTATTTTTACAATTTTCACTTTCTAGTGAGTTTAGATTCTGTCGCCCCCCAATGGTAGCATAAAAGAATACATTGCGATAGGCGAACACCTAAAATACTAAACAGTGACTTTAACGTAAAGGCTCAAAGTCGATGTGTTGATGATGATATTTACCAAATTGCTAACCGTTCTTTGCTATCTTCCTACAGATTTCCTGGAAGATGCATAAACAATATGCATCAGTGAGTCCCACTGAAGACATCAGTGTAAAGACTGAAAATGGACCTCAGCCAAAGAAATACCGGTACATACGCAAAGAAGGCAGCTGTAATGTTGTGTTCCGCCATGTTCCTGAAGAGTGGCTGCTGTTTGTGACCGACATCTTCACCACGTTGGTGGAGATCAGATGGAGAGTGATGTTCCTGATCTTTGCCCTATCTTACATCCTGTCCTGGCTCTTCTTCGGCATCCTCTACTGGGTCATCGCTCTCGCTAACGGTGACATGAAAGACCACACAAATGACCCCTGCGTGTACGAGGTGCGCAGCTTCACAGCTGCTTTCCTCTTCTCGCTTGAAACTCAAACCACCATTGGCTATGGCTTCAGAGGAATGTCCGAGAACTGCATGATTGCTATCATCGTCGTCACCGTGCAAGATGTGATCAGCTGCTTCATCGATACGTTTGTCATCGGAATCGTTGTCGCCAAAATGGCCTCGGCCAGAAAGAGGGCGCAGACGGTGGGCTTCAGCAACTGTGCAGTCATCAATCTTCGTGATGGTTACTTGTGTCTTTCCTGGAGAGTTGGCGACTTTCGCAAGCACCACCTGGTGGAGGGGGTGGCTCGTGCCCAGATTGTCCGCTCCACGGTGCATGCCACAGGGAAAATGGACGTGACCTACGAAGATCTGGTCATCCAGCAGAGGGATGTCATCCTGGTCACACCCACCACTGTCTTTCACAGGATCGAACCCGGCAGCCCTCTGTACAAGATGAGCTTGGTAGATCTGCGTAAAGCAGACTTCGAGCTGGTGGTGTCTTTTACCTACACGGACGACTCCACGGGTATGCTGCATCAGACCCGAACCTCGTACACTCCTGCTGAAATCCTCTGGGGTCAGCTGTTCCAGGAGATGATCAGGGTCAGCAGGAGAAACTACAGGGTGGATTACACCTTGTTCAATCACACCGCCAAAGTGCTGGTGCCTGAGGTCAGTGCTGAGGACTATGAACACAAGAAGCAGCTGCGGCCCTCTCCTCGACATTCCCCGCGACATTCCCCACGCCCTTCCCCGCGGCTTTCTCCTAGATCTTCCCCACGCCCCTCTCCGAGGTCACAGCGGCAAAATCATCACGAAAAACTACTGAAACCCCCAACGGTAACTGTGGAACTTGTGAATGATAGTCGCCCTGAACCAACTGATTCAACATCTCAAGCAGACAGTCAACATCAAGACAGTTTGACTCTCCCAAATGACCACGCAAGTCCAGAAATATAGTATAATGTTTGAGGCGGTCAGACATTGTCCATTTCTTCAAAGAAACCTCTGCTAAAGAGGAATGGATGCTACTGAATCTCATTCACTGTCAGAATGTTCAAAGTTGTGGCATCTTTGTTTTTGGTGTAATTTTTGTTTAAAGTGACACTCGAGCCAAGATCCCTTTGAGTATCAAACCCTTGTAGGCTTTAAAGATGGCACCCATTCATTCCAACGAAGGCTGCTCATCCAGCACACAGGTGACATGAAGGCTATTGAATCCTTAGCTGTGGTTTTCAAAACAGTACAGGGTTTACAGTATGTTCAGCCATTTGAGCTAACATGCTCACAATGACAATGCTAACATTCTAATGTATATCATGTATAACTTTTTACCATGTTTACTATCTGTGTTAGCATGCTAACATTGGCCAATTAAAACAATGGAAAAACAAATGGACAGAGGAGACTTGCTGTTATGCTGCAGGAGCAGTTTGAGAGGTTTATGTGGATGTTTTGATTATTTTTCCCTTCATTAAAACTGCTCACTGTTGGAATTTACTGTCACTGATGTGGATTTAAGCCGACCGCAGCAGCTGCATTCCTTCAGTGACGAAACTACAAACTTTTTACAGCCCCCTTTTAAGCCTACATTTTGTCAGGATTTGATGCCCAAAATATAAATACTTGATAGACTGTCACTTTCAAACATTTAAAAGCAACATAGAAAGAATACAAAACCTATAATGTACAGAGGCTAGTTATTTTGGAATATATATATATATATATATAGGTTTTAATAATTATAGTCTTTATAGGATTATTGTAACATTCAGATTCATCTTTATTATTAATAATGAAAGATTTAAGTGGATAAAAAATTGCTTTTACACTTTATATGGACCTTGAAGTGAGATTGTTTTGTGAACTGCTGTTTCCAAGGTCAAAAATGAACTTTCAATCTCAACCTGAACAGTCTTTAAAACGTTCAGAAAAGATCACAAGATCCAGACGAAAGCTCCAAAACTGAATGGACCTCGTGGTGAGGTGGTTTCATCGACTGTTTTTATATTCTGTGTAAAAAGAAATTATGTAAAGAAATATGAGATTAGACCAAAACTTTAGAGTGTGAATGTATGTAAAAAAAAAAAAAAAAAATAGGGTCAGAAGTCAGAGGGTGGACTTAAGCAATGTCCTCTATTGTGAGTAAAGTCAGCAGAGTTTATATGAAAAACATGTACATTTTCTTCATGTTTGTGGTGGTGGAATCCCATTTGTTTAGTGTTAACCCCTAACCAGAACGTTACACAGAAATATGTGAACTGAATAAGTGTGATGAAGCTTGTTTATTGTCTTAGATTTTTGTAAATGATAAATGACAAATAATATTTTACATGCTAGAATATAAGGATCTGCTGTAACAGACAGAGTGTATTTATAATATTGCTGATAAAGTACGATCAGATCAGATTTTTATAAATAAGGCAATATCAGTGTCAACAATTTCAATAAAGTGATGTTTAAATGTCTGGTTTGCGTTTTCGCTTCCTGTAATGTTCATGTTATCTGTCCGAGGTGGATCATGGTTCTCGTCGAAGAACAAAAAGGTCACTTTGATGTCAAGTAACCAGACGGACAAAAGTAACCAGATGCTGCTTGGTTGCTTTGATTTGCATCACTGTGTAATCCCATTAAAAACATGTATTCTTTTTATCATCTTTCCAGAATAGATCAATCAAAAGCTCGCGATGTTATTCAGACTTCCAACTCGGGGGCTCGAGTTTGAAGTTCCCTCGGCTTCTGATCCTGTTAGAGAGACCCAGCACAGACCTCATAATGCTTGGGGGGTGGGGACAGTCGCACTACCACCTTGTGCTGGGCATAAGTTTCCCATAGTATCTCATGGCAAAGTAAAGGTGCTGTTTACCTTCATATATTACTCAGCACCTGAATTGGACCACAAAAGCCCTACTAAACCCTAATTCAGCACCTTAAACATCCCATATGTGAACTGTTTTGATGAACTTTATTTGAAGGGATGTCTTTTAGATTTGGTTAGAATAGAGCTCTTGAATATTATATCCTCCATCTTCGCTTAAAAATATGAAATGAAAAGACGCAAGTAATTATTGTTATATGAATATGAATGAATATGAATATTGTGCATCCCTAGTATAAATGTGAGTGTAATAAAGTAAAGTAATAAATGTAAATGCTTCACAATAAAAGCCGGAATCCTGCTGGTTCACTGGTGGACAACATTTTTTTTCATAGATTTTGGGGGCTTTTATTCCCTTTTTACTGATAGTGACAGCTGAAGAGTGACAGGAAAGGTGACAGAGAGACAGAGAATGACAGACAGCAAAGGGCCACAGGTCGGAGTTGATGGTCGCTGCAGTAAGGACTCAGTCTTAGCACTTGTGGCGCCACCTCCACCAGGTGAGCTACCCGGGCGCCCCGGTGGACAACCTTTAATGTGAAGCAGCAGCAGGAAACGATCGCTTTGAGCTCTAATACAGCTTGCTGTGGCTGTAGGAAGAGATAAGTTAACAGTAATAAGGTTGATACCTGAAAGTAGAGCAGAGCTTTCTCCCCATCACCACCGGCAGCAGAGCCACATGTGTTGGGACACGAGTTTAACACAACACATGAGAGCGGGAGACGTTATCCTCAGCTGTGTGCACCAGTGCCCAATGTCATCACTACTAGAACTAGGACAAGAAACACAATGTCAAGAACATTACAATAATGTTCTTGACATTGTGTTTCTTGTTTCTTTTATGGACAAATAAACTAACCAGTTAAAAGACAGAATAATCTGCAGTGGAAATAAACTGAAGTTGCAGCCTTGGTGGAGTAATGTCTTTTTAGAAAGTGATGACAAACATAATTGGCGTTTAGTTTGGAGGACTTAAGTGAGTAAGATAGGAAGTGAGTCATCCATTTACAAGATGGCAGCCGTTACTGCAGCTCGGACATCTTTTTTGTGTGTTTAGTGTATTTCTTGTGTGTCTTTGTGCCTTTTCTACACAAATCTCCATTGTTGTGCGTGTCAACATGGATGCACAAATGGTGAGATTAGCAGTATGTCCTTAACTTATTTTTGGACTACTCAACCAGGGCTCTATTTTTATTATATCTGGTCTTTTTCTATTCTATTTTTTAGTGAATTTCTCCAGTGTGGGATTAATAAAGTCTATCTTCAATCATTAGTCTTGCAGCCTAATCAGAATCAGAATCAGAATCAGAAATACTTTAATAATCCCCATGGGGAAATTACTTAATATACTTTAATACTTTAATAATAATAAAGTCATTTGTTTTATTGCATCTTATATCGTTACTGTTATATTCTTTCCACCTTTCATCTCAGTCCTTTAGATGCTGCAGTGACGCAAGTTGCATTAAAAGTTCAAATCCATTCTCCTCCTCCTCTGTCCTGTGCTGCTGTCGGCTGCTCACTCACATTACACAGCCGTGTATGTGTGTGTGTGTGGGAGGCAATCACTGGTTAATTTCAGTCTCCAGCTCTCCACCTTGTGGTCCACACGCAGCACTGGCTACTGCATGCATCGCTCTCTTTATTGCTGGAAATTGGGCATGGAAAGCAAACACACACAACGTGCACACTTCACTGACACAGGTGGTTTGGGGCTAAATATATGTGCTGCTATAAATATCCACTACTAAAAATAAGCCTCGCAGGGGGAAAAAAAACGAGCAGTTCAAAAAGCCCTTTTGAAAAAACATGTAGCTGTGGGTTAATGTTTATCATGAATTAGTAAGCAGGAAGAATGATTTAGTCAATGGCTTTAAGACAACACGGTTTCAGCCTGACCTAAAATTATAGGGCAACAGATGCATAGTCTAAACATCCGAAGCAACTTGATAGCTCAGTGGAGAAAGACAGTCATATCATAATACAGGCATGTAGGCCTTTATTGAGTGAGTCATTCTTTCCGACAGAACACATTTTCCATACCCACATTAAAAAATAAGATCTATAAAAACAACGGATATCACAAAAATGGGGGCGATGGGCAGTGGGGTTGCACACGGTCAGCAGCAGGTGGTAACAAGCACAGAAGTCACTTTTTGAAGATTTGAATGCCTCTGTAGAAGCTGGAAGCAGGGGGTAGCTGAGGGGGGGCAGCAGCACCCCCTGAAATCTAACATAATGAAAACAAATAGTTCAAATAATGTTTAAACTTATTCTGCTTTTTTTTTTACTGGGATTTACATGTAAACTGGTATTTATCAGTTTTATCCGCTAAAAGTTATAAAATATTGTGTAAAATGATGTTAATAACTATTAAAAAGGATATAAATGATCCTGGATGTTCAAATTAAAGCATTTAATATTTTCTCATTATATAGACAGACTGTATAACTCTGAGGGACTTCCAGTGAGAAGATAAATTATTGATGAGGATCTCTGGACAGATGGATCTTTGTCTCACTCATGTTTGTCAAACTTTCTGGTAACTTATTTTTGCAGAGCTGGACCTAAATTTATATAAAAAATTATCCTGTACGTTTGTTATAAATCAATTAAGTAGTAATGATATTAACCTCAAGAATTTTTTTTTGTATAGAATATATAATTTTTATATTCTAGTTGTTGAACTCCTTCACCTCCTTCCTCCCAACTCGGTGTGAGATTCAGGCGTTATCCTCCCCTTTATCCATTCTGTTCACATCAGTCTTATTGATCAAACGCACAGTTGCGGGCTGTAATTGCGCCCGTTTCGCAGTGCGCGCTCCCCTCCGCTCCCCATTGGTCGGGCGCGGGGCTGGGGGCGGGCCTTGCCGGTGCGTGCTGTTAAAAACGCTTTGGGGGAACTCATCGCGAGGCACATTACCGAGACCGGTCCTCCGGAGATGTGGGGGAAGTTTCACACTTGAGCTTGTTCGGCCAAAACAAATAAGAAGCGCGCGGGAACGACGCGGAGGCCAAAAAAACCGTCTGGATTATATTTCTGCGAGCTGAGTCCGAACCGGCCCACAAATGAGCAACAGGTAGAGGAAACACGAGCCTTTTCTTTCACTCTTGTGCTTTCATGTGATGTGATGCTCTTAACAAGTGCTTTACGCATGTCAGCGCTGTTATCTTTTGGCACAGTGGCGCTCAGATCTCGAGGCTTTACTTTATTCTCCGTGACGCACAGACTTCCTGGCTTTTTACGCACGGCTTCCACAACTGTCAGATGAACCGCCAAAAGTTTCACTCTATTCGGTCATATTTGGTCTCGCTTCTTATGTTATGATTGTTGAAGATTAAGTCCTGGGTTTGTGACGGCCCTGACTTTGGGCATGAGACGTGCATGTGTCTCTGAGTGTGAGGGGTGTGTGTGGATGATTGCATCAGAAGTCCGCTCCGTTTTCCCCCCAGCACCTGTTAACATTTGTCGCTGGCATTTGTTGCATTCTGAGAGCAGCTCAGCCTGTCTCCCAGCAGGCAGATGCTGTTTAACAATACACTTTAAAAGTATAACAGTGTAATAATCCGGATGGTGTGTTATACAGGGACATTTGTGCGCCACTCTTTTCAGTCTTTCCACAGAATCTCTTTGCTCATTTTGAAAGGAAAGTATAAATTTGGCTGTAAATAATGAATCTTTGTTATTTGTAGAAATGTTCACACATCAACCATCATCTGAGAAAAGATTACACTTGCTTACAGTTCAGCATCCTCAGTAATTAGGATCAATGTTAGATTCTTCTCATATAAGCTTGTGCAGTTGTTTTTAAACTTAATACAAAAGTGTCATTTTATGTTTTATGTAGTAGTGTATGTAAAAACCTCGCAGACAAATTGCATCAGCCAGTTTTACTTTCCGCAGGTATGAAACTTCAGTATGACTCAGCAGGTCTGAAGAACGTTCTAGTTTTCACTTTAATGTTCTCATATTTAACTTTCACGCCTCAGAGAGAAATCTATTCTGATAAAAGAAAAGAAATAAAAAAAATAGAAAGAGACCACAGTGAGACTGCAGCAGGTCGATTTTGACTTTAGTTGCTAGGACAGCCGAAACTAATGAGTGCTGTTCTCGTGGAGAATCCTCTCAGGACTGCCCTTATTGCAGCAGAGACAAGAACTCGCAGAGGACTCTGTGAGAGTCAACAAGCTGTGCATCTCTTCTGCACAGTGTAAGACGCAGCTCACACCGTCCCCTCAAGATTCTTTAAAAAAAGGCCGGCAGTAAACTAAACCTCCGAGGCTCACATGATGTCATTTGTAAACTGTTGTAGCTCGCTG